AATTTGAATTTTGCGCGTTTTGTTCCACGTGACTCAAAAAGATGAAATTAGTCGCAGATGTCAAGTCATGTTTTGTTTGACATGCTTTATAACCTACAATTGTCAAATTAACGTTTTAGGTTGTTTTTAAACTTATATTAATTTACAATGTATAAAATTAATAATTAGTGATATATTTAAGTTTGTTTTATTCAAATTCTCTTCAAAATGATTAGATTAATTAGAAGGGTTTCTACAAAAAAGCTAAAAGACTTGACGCACAATGGACCTGCTATAATAAGTTGTAAAAACTCGGAATTAAATCATTACACCAGAGCTAAATATGGAAAATTCGAAGAAGTACCTTGGCTTCCAAAGGCTGGAATCACAGAAAGTCCAGAGGTGATTTTTTTGTTCTACACCCATTTTTTGAGGGTGAGAAAACCAACATCGAAAAGGAAAGTCAGGAAAGTAGTTTCCAAAGTCTAGGAATAAATGAAAGAATTATAAATTGTCTAAAAAATAATGATATTTCTACTCCAACACAAATACAACAAAAGCTATACCATCAATTCTAACTGGCAACAATACTTTAATTGCCGCTGAAACTGGTTGTGGCAAAACATTAGCATTTTTACTACCCCTTGCGCAACAAATAATTGATTGGAAAGCCCTCCAAAAAGATACAGCATTCAACACTCCATTAGGTCTTATAATTCTTCCCAGTAGAGAATTAGCAAGCCAAATTGGAGAAATAGCTCTAAAATTGTCAGAAGAATTATCATTTACCACAAAAGTCATCATAGGTGGTAAACTAAAACAGAAATTACTCAATCCAAAATTTGAATCATTGATCTGCTCATATCGTCCTTTGGAGCTCTGAGTAAAACTTGTTACTAATAAGATTTATAGAAGAATAACGTGCGGCATGTCGTTTTAGATGAGGCTGACACTTTGCTGGATGATAGTTTTAATGAACAATTATCACATTTTTTTAAAAAAATTACCATTTTTTTAATCATCTCATTCTTTTGGATGTCAGTTAACTCTGTCCAGTGCAACACTTCCTCAAAATTTAGATGAACTTTTAAGTGGCATCATAGCTCCTGAATCGATAACATCCTGTACATACAGAAAATTTGCACAAGACTCAACCACATGTACCGCAGAAATTCATGCGTATGTCACAAATGGCAAACCTACAGAATTACTGAGATTAGTAAAATTTGATTACCAAAAAAAATACCCAGTGATTATATTCTCAAATAAAACCGAAACTTGCGATTGGGTTTCAATGTTCTTGAATGAAAATGGATTACCTTGTGTTAACTTAAACGGAGATATGCCTTATGTATTCAGACTAAACACATTTGAAAAGTTCAGAAGGGCGAAGTAAATATAATATCATGTACCGATATAGGATCGCGCGGACTGGACACAGTGCGAGTAAAACATGTCATTAATTATGATTTTCCATTATATTCAGCCGATTATATTCATCGATGTGGAAGAACAGACGAACGGGTAGCCCTGAGGCTTGTCATGTAACAAATTTCATTTCGAAACCGAGAGAAATCGAACTGGTGCAACGGATTGAGACATCTGTACGTAGAAAGAATACACTTCCAAATGTTAATGGAAATATAACGGTATTGTGAAGAGGAGGGTAATAAGAAATTTGAATAAGGAAATGATTAAGTTGAGGATATGATGAATATTGCAGTTGTGTAACGTTTTATTTAAATAAATTTATTTACTTATGACTTTTGTTCTTTATTTACCACAATAGCTTGTACTTTGCAGGAAATATAGTAATATCCTTTTTTTTGCATAAATGTTTTATTGTGTAACAAGTTTATATAAACACATAAATGTTGGATATAAATATTTAAAAAACTGTTTGATCCATATAGATCAAAGTGACTGATATGAAGTAAGAACTTTCATTACTACACTACAACGCCTGTTTTTATATTAAAGCTTTCCAATCAAATCTAGCATTATTGGAATGTGAAATAGGCATAGTTGGTGCTTCTTTAAGTTTCCCAATGTTCTTTTTCCACCTCATATTCAAGCGTCACAAGACTACAATAGGGCACTTGAGGTAGCAGTTTTCTCATATCTTTAGCAGCCTTATATCTTTTCCGATTAGCTGCCTGCTACAAACATCAAGAGATGAAGCATGTCCAACAAGCAGAACGTGCCCACCTAAAATATAATCACGTCAATAACAAATTTTATGCTTTACTCAAGTACTATTAGTCCAGTCATTTGGTCGTTTTGCGGTACAAGTACTCCGGGAATTCTGAAAATTGGTAATCCTATAGATTTCGAGGTGCTCTTTACTAAAATCAACTTTGCCACCTCAAATTTGAACGGCAAGTTGCCGCCATATTGGAAAAATGGCGTCAAAAAACAGCTTTTTCAAATATCTCCTTTCTGGCTGATTCTACGATAAAAGTATCTATGTACGAATAAAATTAGATAAAATTCCTACAATTCTTTAGAAAACCGTTTTTTTTTGTAAAATTGATAGTTTGAGAGTACGGCCGCCTCAAAGTCTTTGCTGCTCTCGCCGTAGTATCAAATCTCTCCATAATGACAGCACTTTGAACTTGACCACATTCTCTCTAATAAATAAAATATTTTAATGAATTAAATTAGCGAATAAGATCTAGAAATAAATAATTCAAATATTTTCTCTGGTGTTTTGCTGATTTTTTTAAACACTTCAAGCTACAGTAGAACTCCATTATCCGAACTCCAATTATCCGAACTCGACTATTCGAATCGCCGATATCCGAATAACTTTCAGAAAAAAAATTGTCCAAAAAAGTCTAAGTGCGCTATTATTCTTCCACCAGCAAAGCCAGTGTAGGCACATTGTTTGTTTTGATTTGACGGAGATGTTTACAAAACAATGATTTTTATTTCTGAACTTTTTTTTTTTTAACTCGTTTAAGTACATTTTATTTATATTTAAAACATGTGAAAACGTCGTTTTTTTATGTAATTCAATAAAAAAATAGTGCAATATCAAAACGTAACTTTTTTTCTCTCCAATGGCAATTTAAAAAAAACTCCGATTATCCGAATGGGTCCCGGTCCCCATTAATTCGGATAATTGGAGTTCTACTGTACTTACTTACAGCTACTTTGCTACCGAATGTTAAAAAATCAGCTAAAAAACAGAAAAATATTTGAATTATTTTATTTCAAGATCTTATTCGCTTAATTTAACATTGAAATATTAGTTATTAGAGAAAATGGGGGTCAAGTTCAAAGTGCTGTCATATATGGAGAGATTGATACTACGGCGAGATCAGCAAAGACTTTGAGGCGGCCGTACTCTCAAACTATCAATTTTACAAAAAAAAAAACGGTTTTCTAAAGAATTGTAGGAAATTTTATCTTGTTTTATTCGTACATAGATACTTTTATCGTAGAATCAGCCAGAAAGGAGATATTAGATTGACAAATATCTCCCTTCCGCTTTTTTGCTCTTGGTTTATAATACAAAAGGCGGAAGGGAGATATTTGACAACCTAATATTTTAAAAAAGCTGTGTTTGACGCAATTTTTCCAATATAGTGGCAACTTGCCGTTCAAATTTAAGTGGCAAAGTTGATTTTCGTAAAGAGCACCTCGAAATCCATAAGATTACTAATTTCAGAATTCCCGGAGTACTGTACCGGCAACAGCCTTTTTTTGCACCAAATGACTGGACTATATCTCTAACCGGTATTAGCTGTATATAGATCACAGATTTCGCCACTTTACTGCTTCTATTAAAGAAATCTTCACATGATTCTTGATAGCCAGCAGTTCGATATATACTAGAGCTTATTATAGGAATGTATTCAGTATTAATATTATATCCAGCAGTAACTAATTCTTGTTCCGTTATCCATCTGGGCATCCATCAGGGTACCATGTTAGCCATTCAAATAATCCTGGTTCAATGTTTATTTTCTTTGTGGATTTTATACCTAAGCCTGAAATCACTTTTCAGTCTCAAATTTGTACTAAATAGTAATATTTTTTTTTCACCTTCCAAAACCGCGGAACACGTTTGTACACATCGATAGGACGGTGAACAATACACGTGGCTGATTTCAATATTTTCTTTTTTTAGTGCTTCCCCTGTTGAAGTGGCTTGAAAGATACCGACTCGCGTAAGAGGAGAATCGTGAGCATATCCTTTGGAACCCATTTTCCTAAATAATAATAATTATATGTAATTTTAATTTCTACTACGCTCGTAACACTATTCATTGCGCAGCCAAAAAATTATACATTTTGCATGACAAGAAATAAACATCATTTATTATTCTGATTCTATTTATTGAGGGACAATATAATATGAAAACTCATGGAAAGAAATGAAAATTCAGTTTACTGACACTTGTTTATACAATAGAACGACCTAAAGAGATGTTTTAAGCGATTATAAGATTTAAAATTTATATGGTTCCTAGAAACTCAAAATCAAAGGTGTCACAAGTACCTATTAGCGCTTTTATTTCATTGCCGATATTTTTAAGGTATTTACCGGTATTAATATCAGCGAAAAGTTGGGCGGTATACCGGTTAATAAAGACCGTCTCGAATTGTTCTATTAAGATTGTTTTATATCCAGCATACTTACAATAGTTGATAATTGAATATTAACTAGTTAATTATATTAAGGCAAATTGCAGGAACTTCCCGCATCGGAAATTATTTTTTTTGAAAATAGCTTTGGAATATTTTGAAAAATAAAATTTCTAAAAATTTTAATTTTGTTTTTACAAAATAAAGACTTTTTTGAGAAATTTTAATTTGTTTTTTATATTTTGTTATCATTTTGAACCGTATGTTCGAAACGGCTGGACCTGCCTTAGCCGAAAACTAATCAGCACGTCCCCTTCTCAATACGAACCAAATGTTTATTGAATTTTTCAAATCGGTAGATCAGTGTTTTTGAAATCTTCGATAAAAATTTGCATCCGCACACACTCACAAACACGCACACACGCAAACACGCACACACACACATCCACACATCCAATTTTCTACGGTACGCCAAAATATTCAGAAACTTCTAATAAAATTTCAAAATTTCTATAAAATATAGGGTCCGCCAACTAGCTTTTTTTGAAAAATTCCTTAAAAAATCTGCTGAATATTTTGCCAATTTTCTTTTTGTTTGAAAATTCTATTAAAAAACCACTAAATTCACTAAATATTTTCACTTTTTTATTTGAAAGCGAAATGTAAAGAGTGCAGAGTACACAGTAGGGTTGCTTAAGTCGTACCCCCTAAAAAAAAGTTATTTGGCGGACCCTATATTTGATAACTTGATGTGCATATGTCTAATGATCATTTTTGACCGCCAAACCGCCGGTATTTCATTTTGTTAATACAAATTAAATGTTTTTTGAATTATTCAAATCGGTGGCTCTTGTTCTCTCAAAAACTCGATTTCTATTTTCTGCGCTCTTTGCTCCTTATCTCCGAAACGGCTAGACCTGCCTTAGCCAAAATCTAATCGGCACGTCGCTTTATCAATACAAACCAAATGTTTTTTTAATATTTTAATCGGTAATCCGTGCGCCCGAAAACGTGGACGGAAAACTTGTATCCATATATAATACACACACACACACCATCCATTTTTCAGAGGGTATGCCAAAATGTTCAGAAACCTTCAAAACGTCGAGAAATGTAAAAATTTTCAATTTCGATTTTCGGCCCATTACAATAATTTACCCTACGGGAAGTTAAAAAACATTCGAATCGTATTGATAAGAGACGTGTTGATTAGTTTTTGGGAAAGGCAGGTCGCGCCGTTTCGACGGGGCAAAAGGAGCCAAAAATTATTGTAATTCAGTTTTTGAAGAAAACGGAGCGTCCGATTTGAATAATTCAAAATTCTGAGGTATGCCACATGTTTAGAAACGTAAAGATATATAAAAATTTTGATTTTCAATTTTTGAACGATTATAATAACTTACCCTGCGGAAAGTTAATTAAATACTAAAAATATAAAATTATAAACAAACCTTTTAGGTAACGTAAGCGGCATATTCAAATCTCTCCTTGAATAGTTATCATGTTCATCAAAGCAATACGGTATCCACTTCCCAAATGTGAAATCAATTCTTTCCCCATGCCTCATTATAAATACTTTTCGAACACTTTTGCAACTCACATCCCTCACAGTGGAAGCATCGCCACTATTATGAGAATCCGAATCTGATGTGTTATTGTTCTTGTTAAGAGAATCTTCATAATGCAAATCGTTTTGATGCTGACCGTCATCGTTTGTATCCGTCGACTTTGTTTTATGAGTTGGAGAAGCTAGGATAAAAAAATTATTTTATTAGTTATTAGGTTATTCAAATTGTATCAACTGTTGGTTTACCTGTATCGTTTCTGGAGGAAGGACAGTCTACTTCATCAAACGATTCTTGTATATCGTTTGATGAATTGTCACACAATTCCACCATGCGATGCATCGTCCAGGAATCGGATTCCGCCGTTCGCTCGGTGTAACTTTCAGGGAGATACCCTGTTGTACCTATTTTGTTAAAAAATATAAGGAAAAACCATGAAATTTAAGGGGTCTAGTCTAGAAGTTTTAAGAAATCGATTTTATTTCTCGAAACTGTCTTTT